CTCTTTGCCCACCATTGGAATTAGCGCGGGCCCTGCAAGAAGAGGAAGGGGGAGAACGAGGGAGAGTGGGAGGAAGGGAGGGGGAGGGACGAGGCTAAAGGGGAACACGCCAGGAGAGAGGGGGCGAGGAGGGGGTGGGGGGACGATTGGAGATAGAGAGACAGAGGAGGGAGGAAGGAGGAGGCTGGAGAGGGGAGGGCGAAGCGAGGAGGGAGGAGGGTTATGGGAGGAGGGTGAGGGGAGAGAGGAAGAGGGAGGTGGAGGGTGGATATGAGGGAGAGGGGAGGGAGGAGGGAGGTTGGATGGGGAGGAAGGGGCAGGAGGGTAAGAGTGTGAACGTTCGAGGAAGTCCTAGGCGAGGGCGTATTCCTCAAGGAAGAGTTGGGCGGGAGCGGGGGTCCCGAGTACATTGTCGGACGTCTCAGGCGGGAGCGCCGGTCGGGCGGGCGGACCCTGACGTGAATTGCGAGGAAGTATTAAGCGAGAGCGCGATTCCTAAGTAAATTGCGAGGGCGTCCTTGGCGCGAGCGTGGTTCCTGAGCGTCGAGAACGCGATGCTGTAATAAATTGAAAGGAAGTCCTAAGCGAGAGCGCCATTCCTGAGTAAATTATGAGGAAGTCTCGGGCGGGAGCAGGGGTCCTGATTAAGGAAGTCTCAAGCGGGAGCGCCGCTTTTGAGTAACATGTGAGAAAGTCTGAAGCGGGAGCGCCCTTCCGGAGTAAATTTTGAGGAAGTCAACAACAACAACAACAACAACAACAACAACAACAACAACAACAACATCGTTTTAATATTGTTCGTTCTTACTTGCTCGAGTTTCCGCCAACGTGCATTTCCCATACCCTCGATACCCGCCCTCTTCGTTGTCGATCGTGCTTTTTTTGGGGGGTCTATCTTTCTTCCCTGCAGGCCAGGCCCCGGCAAGCGGCGTGGCGGCCGCGGGCCGTCGGCCTGGCCAGCGGCAGCGCTGATCGGTGGCAGCCCGACCCCCAAGAAGGACGGACAGGGGATTGACCGCGACGACGACAACGTCGACGACGACGACGACGACGACGAGCGAATGCGAAAGCGAGGGCGAAAACGAGAGCCACAGCGGGGCCACCAGGGAGTGGGCCGCGAAGGGTGGCAGATAATGCGGGGCCACAGGGGGGGCAACGACGGGGTCACTGAGGGTAGCAACGGGGCCACGCAGGGCAGCGATGAGGCCGCGAAGCGCGACAGCGGGGCCACAAAGGGCTGCAACGGGGCCACGACGGGCCATGAAGGCTGCAGCGGGGCCACGAAGGGCAGCGATAGGGGGTCGCGAAGGGCTGCAACGGTGCCACGAAAGGCAGCGAGGGGGCAATGAATGGCTGCAGCCGGGCAGCGAGGGGGCCCCGAAACGCTGCAACGGGGCCATGAAGGCAGCGAAATCCCGACCCCCAAGTAAGCCGTGAGGGGGTCCTCAGCGTGAGCGCGACTCGTGGGTGCCTGAGTGTCGGGAGCGCGGCGCTTGAATAAATTGCGGGGGGTTCCGACGCAAAAGCGCGATTTTCGAATGCATTGCAAGCAGGTCTCCAGCGAGAGCACGGCTCCAGAGCGCCGAGAGGGCGATCCCTTCATAAAGTGTAAGGAAGTCCCAAGCGACAGCGCGATCCCTGAGTATCATGCGAGGACGTTTCGGGGCGGTGGCGGGGGCTCTGACTAAATTGTCAGCAAGTTTCAGGCGGGAGCCGTTGTTGTTGTAGTCCGGGGCCAGTTTGAGCCCCGTGATTTTCCGTGGTAAAAATCAGGGTGCGAACCCCGAAAGAAACACGTCAATTGAACAAATAACAATGGTCACCAGAAGGGGGATCAACAACAATGATTTTTCAGTAGTGAGAGCTCAACAACAACAGTCATCCTTTTGAGACTGTTCGTTCTTATCGGCTCGAGTGTCCGCCAACGTGTATTTCCCAAACCGTCGATACCCGCCTCCTTTGTCTTCGATCATACCCCTCTTGGGGGTATATCTTTCTTCCCTGCAAGCTGGGCCCCGGCGAGCGGCGTGGCGGCCGCGGGCCGTCGGCCTGGCCAGCGGCAACATTGATCGGCGGCAGCCCGACCCCAATAAGGACGGACAGGGGACCGACAACGACGACGACGACGACGAACGAAGGCGAGAACGAGAGCGACAACGAGAACGACAGCGGGGCCGCCAGGGAGGGGGCCACGAGGGGGCCACGAAGAGCGATTCTTGAGTAAAACGCAAGGAAGTCTCAGGCGGGAGCGGGGGCCTGGCTCAATTGTCAGGAAGTTTCAGGCGGGAGCCGTTGTTGCCTTAATCGCGGGGCCAATCACCCAGATTGAGCTCCGTGATTTTCCTTTGATATGAATATCAGGGTGCGAAACCCGGAGGAAGCACGTCATTTGAACAAAACACAATGGTCACCGGAAAAGGGGATCAATTGTGACTATTCTTTAGTAGTGAGAGTTCAACAAGAAAGCAAGGCGGAGGGCACTCGCTGGAGACTTCCTCGCGATCTACTCAGGAATCGCACTCTCGATTGAAATTTCTTTGCGATTTCCCCACGAATCGCGTATTCGCTGGAGACGTCCTCACGATTTCCTTAGGAATTGCGCTCTCGCTCGAGCGTCCTTGCTCGAAATTCTCTTGCGATATATTGAAGAATCGCACTCTCGCTTGAAATTTCCTCCCTATTGACAATGGTCGCGCTCTCGCTCAAGAGTCCCTTTCTATTTGCATAGGAATTGCGCTCTCGCTCGAGATCCCTGCACGATTTACCAACCAATCGCGCTTTCGCTGGAGACTTCCTTGCGATTTACATACGAAACGCACTCTAATTCGAACGCTCGCGGTCTAGACTTCCTGTCGATGTATTCAGGAATCTCGCTCGCGTTTTTTTTCGGAATCGCGCTGTCGGTCGAGACTTCCTATTTTTCGACGAAGGAATCGCGCTCTCGCTCGAGACTTCGTCGGGATTCACATGGGAAATGCGCTCTCGCTCGAGCGCTCATGCTTGAGTTTTCCTTTTGAATTTATTGAAGAATCGCTCTCTCGCTTGATTTTCTTTGTTTTATCCAGGAGGCGTGTTTTCGTTCGTGAGTTCTCTAAGATTTACCTCAGAATCGCGCTCTCGCTCGAGCGCGGTCGTTCGAGTTTTTTTCGCGATCTATCCAAGAATCGCGCTCTCGTTCGGGACTTCCTCCCGATCTGCTCAGCATTGGCGCTCTCGCTCAAGAGTTCCTTTCGATTTGCATAGGAATCGCGCTGTCGCTCGAAATTTCCTCGCGATTTATTGAATAATCGCGCTCTCGCCCGAGGTTTCCTCGCGATTTACCTCGGAATCGCGCTTTCGCTCGAGCGCTCTCGCTCGAGACTTTCTCGCGATGTTTTCAAGACTTGCGCCCTCGTTCTAGATTTCTTTGCGATTTGCCTAGGGACCTCGCTCTCGTTTTACATTTTCTTGTATTCAAGGAATCGCGCTCTCGCTCGGGGCTTCTTCGTGGGGGTGGCGATGATGATGATGATGACGATGACGAGGAGCAGGATGAACAGGAGGAGAAGGAGAAGGAGGACGAGGATGGTCGTTACGTGTGTCGCCTCGAATATCGAAACTTTGTGAAGCCGAGATGAAGATGAAGGTCTTGACGATGATGTGATGATTGTGATGGGGATGCTGCGGATGAGAGTGATGATCATGGTGACGATGATGATGCTGACGATGATGATGCTGGTGATCGTGATGGTGATGCTAATTGTGATGATGGTGATGGCGATGATCATGATGCTGATGATACTGACGATGATGATGATGATGTCTTGTACTTGTACTGTAATCCTTGGGAGCGTAGTGGAACAGCCGTTGGCAGCACAACATGTCTATGATGATGCTGATGGTGGTGGTTGGGAGGGTGCTGCTGATGAAAATGAGGATGTGCTGCTCAGAATCATGGGAGTTTTGATGATGATGGTGATGGTGATGGTGATGGTGATGATGATGATGATGATGATGATGATGATGATGATGATGATGATGATGATGATGATGATGGGGAAGCGGATTGCGACGATGATGCTGGTGATGATTATGATGCTGATGCGGTTGATGCTGATCTTAATGAGGGTATTGATGGTGGTTGTTTTGATCATGGTGAGGATGTGGCTCATGCAGGGGAGGAAGGTGGCGGTGGTGATAATGGTTACGATGCTGCTGATGCTTCTGCTGATGGTGGTGATGGTGCTATTGGCGGGACTGAAGGTGATGATGATGAGGAGGAGGAAGAGACAGACCGTCACAGAGTGCACCGCTCGCCTTTCTTTACCTGGGGGATCACTTGAATCCCGCGTAAGTTGTCTCTGAGCTGCAGGGATTCCTCTTGATTCCTTGCCATTCCGAAGGATTCTTCCGGATTCTTGGGGATTCCTATGGATTCCTAGGGATTCCTAAGGATTCCCAGGGATTCCTACGGATTCTAAAGGATTCCCAGGAGTCCCCGGGTTTCCGAAGGATTCCCATGGATTCTGAAGGAGCCCTAAGGATTCCCAAGGGCCCCTGAAGATTCATAGCGACTTTGAGGATTTCTATGGATCCCTCCGGGATTCCTAAGGATTCTTAAGGATCCCTATGGATGCCTCACCATCATCAGAACTATCGATCTCACCAGCGATGTCACGATCGATATCGCTGTCGATCCGATTATCGATCTGGCAATCAATTTGAGAAACGGCCTTGATATCGATCTCAGTATCGCTCTGGCACTCCATCCCACAAGCGATACCGCAATCGATCGGAGGGCACCAACTATACATCAACACCGATCCTGGCCCAGGATCACCCTGGGCCCGTGATCGGTGTATATGCCTTCTTGCCCAAGGCAGGAGGGCGTATACACCGATCCTGGGCCCAGGGTGATCCTGGGCCAGGATCGGTGTTGGTGTATAGTTGGTGCCTTCCTAATCGATCTCACCATCGACCTCGCCATCGACATCACCATGGATCTTCCCATCGGTTTCCGCAGCCGTCCTGGCTCAAGCCGCCTCGGGGCCTCCGAGCGTGAAGCACCCCTGCTCGAGGAGCCCGCAGGGCGGACGCTGTCTGGCTCGGCGCGAGCGGCCGCCCTCAGAGAGAGCGTCGGTGCTTCGAAGATGGCCGGGGAGGCGCCCGACGGCCCCCTCGAGGCGCCCGTAGGCGGGATCTTGCGGGGAGTGCCTGTCGATCTGGTGCAGCTGGCGGCGCAGCTGGCGGCGGTGGTATGCATAGTCTCGTTGGTGGGGGGTTACATGCTGAGGCTTCGCGCGGGCTCCGCATCGTGTGGGTGCTTGAAAACTTTGGAGGAGGTTCTTGGAATACTCAGGCAAGCTCTCAATTCAGGCTCTGGTCCAAACCACGAGCTGACATCGAAGCTAGCGAGGAGCAAGCGCATGGCTGTAGGCCTCATCATCTGCCGATATACCAAATGGGCCATGATGATCAACACGTTTAGCACTGTTGGTGCTGATGAAATGTTCTTCTTGCTACATTACACAGTTTTCTTCATATACTCAACTTTCGTGTCAATTGCTCCCAGCCGACACACGCATTGGGTGCAGCATGCAGCATACATGTTTTTCATGGCATCGTACAGTTTGGGGCTGTCGCCGCTAGTGATTTCTGCTGGGCCTGGGTACAACCCCGAATGGTATATACGGCGGGCGCTTTATGCATCAGGGATGTTTACTCTATACGACATTAGCTTACCCCTGAACATCGTCGGGAATTCTGCGATGTGGGGTTCCTTATTTGTGACGGGACTTGTTCACGGCGAAGGAGAGTGCAGCGGCGATGATGTTATGGGAACTATCGTGGCATGTTGGCTTGGCATGATCGCGTGGTCTGTTCTGTGTAGCGTAGTCTTTATTGAGGGGGTGATTCGCGAGGTGTTGATGCTGACGGTCAAGAGCGAGCTGAAGGCGGCCGACTCAATCCTCCAGGGCACCTGTGATGCTGTGGTCGTATTGGACCAGGAGCTTAGGGTCACTCAGGGCGCGGAATCCGTGGCGAACATGCTGATGATGTCCCCATCAAAGATCCAGGGCGAGAGCGTTTTGCTCCTGATCGCCACCGAAGAGGACCGCGAAAGGTTCGTGCAGATGGTGCGCGGCGCCCGGTCTAGCGCGGTCCCAGGCCCGTGCACGGCCTTCAACACCTCCCTGAAGGACAGCGCCGCCATCTCGTGCACCGTCGAGGCGCTGTGCGTGAAGTATCTGCAGGCCGACGGCGGGGGCGAGTCGTTTTTGCTTGGCTTCCGGGAGGGTGATCTGCCCGCGGTCCCTTTCCAGACGAATTTTTCAAGCTCCGCCCCGCGGAGCAGACGTCCTCGGCCCCCGCCGCCGCCCGCCGCGCAGTCGGTGGAGTACCTGCAGGCCACGAGCTCTGCCCGGAGCGCGGACGACCTGGCCGCCCAGGACGGCAGCTCGGACGGAGCCAGCTCCTCCACGGGGCAGAGCAGCGACAGCGACGACGCATGCACTCCAACAGGCTGTCGGCCACCCGCCGTGTGGTTTGATCCCAGTTCGCCCGAGCTTGAGCTGGTCAAGAGCAGCGCCGAGTTCAGGATGCTCACCGGCTTCACCGAGGAGGAGATGGCAAATTTGGGAGGTGTTTTGACGTGGGTGCGCAATGAGCAGAGGGAAGCTTTCGCAATTTGGGTGCGCAACTTCGCCGACGGCACCCAGAATCAGGAGAGTCAAATTTCCGACGCTCGTGCAGGAGTCAAATTGTGTATCGCGTGCGAGAAGCACAAGTCCCAGTTTCAGGCGGAGGTGCATTTGGAGACGTGCTGGTCAAAGGCCAATTCCAGGACCCTCAAGCTCGTGGTCCATGGCTTCCGAGCCCGGCAGAAGAATACCAATAAGGGTAAGAGCAGGAGGACTCGAGAACTACGTAGTAATTCTTCTGATTCCGACGAGGCTACACCGCGCGAGGGCACAACAAGGGTGCGCAGTAACGATTTTGAGGTTCGCGACTCAGGGCTACATGTGCTGTGCGACATCGGGGAGGGCCAGAATGACAATGACCCGCTCGTGGTCACGAGGAGCATCAGCCCAGGTCTCCAGTTGCTTCTCGGCACCGGCGATTCAGGGCAAGATGTGTGCGACTTGTTCGCCCAGACGGAGACCGACGGACTCGAAACTTGGTTGCACGACGGGTATTTCGCTTGGTTTCAGTGCAATGACGAGAACTCCGCCACCAGGCGCTGGTTTTCCTTAGCAATACCAGCTCTGGAAACATTAGGCGTCCGCATTGAGGTCAACTGTAGGCTCACGTTTCAGCTTGGAGACTCTGGCATGTGCCTGGAGATCCAACGAATACGATGGTCGTCCATGGAGGGGTTTGCAAGGGCCAGGGCGCGCAGAAGGCCAAGGACTGTCGGTACGCCAGCAAGGGTGGATTCGGCGAGGCTTCAAGCGCTGAATAGCCAAGCGAGCCTGTGATGGACCTTAGTCATCACACTTCTGTCGGGCACAGCAATTGCTTATGTGTGTAAACGTTCAGGGCAACTGCGGTGCGACTGAATAATTCAAGGCCTGCGGCCAGGTCCAAGTGTTGGGATTGGGTTTTTCCTTTCAGTTGTTGCCAGTCCTGCTTACAGTATGTATCGCCGCGCCTTGAGCTAACGGAAATTGATCTGCCAGCACAGCTGGCTCGCTGGCGAGATCAAAATGTAGCGTGTGGCATGACAAGTGCTTGCGCGGATCTGTCGGTGCAGAAGGGGGGCTCGCCGTCGCATCGGTGCCTCGTCCTGTTGCTCTGAGCTCGAGTTTTCGTCGCCCCCGGGCCGACCCAATCTTCCCACCCGCGCTCAGACATCCTCTCGGACCGGCAGTTGGGGGGCGGGCTCGCCCCGACGCCGTCCGGGCTCGGCCGCTCAGGGAAACCTGGGGCCCGTACCGCTTCGGGCCGAGATGGCTCCGCGCGGTTCGGCGATAGCCGGCTCTGGGCGGGCTGTGTGTGAGTGTATTGCTCCCGTGGGCGCTTCCCCTCCCGGCTGCTGCAAGAGTCCTGCTCGCTGCGTGCCTCGCGCAGCGCCCCCCGAGCGACCTGTCCGCGCGGCCGCCTCGCTGGCGAGGCCGACCTGTGGCCCGTGTGTACATCCAACGGCGCACCGGCCCCGCGGGCCGAGGGCCGGAGCTTCGACCACGAGTGTCAGGAGGGGAGAAAGCACAGGCACAATTCATCGTCGACCCCCAAGAAAATATGGGAAAATACGGGAAGCGGGGGGGGGGGGAGACAGAGACCCAGAAAAGATAGGGAAATGTGGGGAATATCTTTGTTTGTGTGTATTTCTTTGTGTGTCCTGGGGCCCCTTCAAAATGTCCGAGGCGGGAATTTATACATGACCACCGCTTGGAGGGTCAGTTTTCGGAGCCTCGGCAGGCTGTGGATATGGGTAAGTCCCCGCCTCGCAAACTGTGGGCACCAGGGCCCGGGCCCGCCTCTGGGAGGCATAGAAATCGCCCCGGGGAGCCCTCGGACAGCAATCCCGGCGGCCCCAGACGGTCTCGAGACGAGACGGCCCCAGAGCCGCCCAAGACGGCGCAAGAGGGTCCCAAGAAGGCCCCAAAAGGGGCCCAAGAGAGGGATCGCGAGCTGAAAAATCAAGCTCTCCGCCCCAAGATGCCCCCAAGAGGCCCCAAGAGGCCCCCACGAAGCCCCCAAGAGGCCCCACGAGGCCCCAAAGAGGCCGCACGATGCGTTTTAAACTGCCCCTCTAAGACGCCCCAAAAGGCCTTTCAGATGCCGCCCAAGAGCGCTCCGAAATGGCAAAATCGTTTTTTTTGTGTGTTGTTTTTGTTGTTGTAGTTGTAGTTGTAGTTGTTGTTGTTGTTGTTGTTGTTGCTGTTCTTGCTGTTCTTGTTGTTTGTTGTTGTTGTTGTTGTTGTGGTTGTTGTGGTTGTTGTGGCTGTTGTTGTGGCTGTTGTTGTTGTCGTGGTTGTTGATGTTGTTGTTGTTGTTGTTGTTGTTGTTGTTGTTGTTGTTGTTGTTGTTGTTGTTGTTGTTGTTGTTGTTGTTGTTGTCGTCGTCGTCGTCGTCGTCGTCGTCGTCGTCGTCCTCGTTGTTGTTGTTGTTGTTGTTGTTGTTGTTGTTGTTGTTGTTGTTGTTGTTGTTGTTGTTGTTGTTGTTGTTGTCGTCGTCGTCGTCGTCGTCGTCGTCGTCGTCGTCGTCGTCGTTGTTGTTGTTGTTGTTGTTGTTGTGTTGGTGTTTGTTGTTGTTGTGTGGTGTTGGTTGTGTTGTGTTGTTGTGTTGGGTTGGTGTGTTGTTTGTTGTTGTTGTGTTTGTTGTTGTTGTTGTTGTGTTGTTGTTGTTGTTGTTGTTGTTGTTGTTGTTGTTGTGTTGGTTTTGTTGTTGTGTTGTGTGTGTTGTTGTTGTTGTGTTGTTGTTGTTGTTGTTGTTGTTGTTGTTGTTGTTGTTGTTGTTGTTGAACATTATTACTTCTAAAGAATATATTATTGTTGAGACCCCTGGTGCGCGACCCCCCTCCAAAACCTAGGCCGCAGCCTCATTTCCTTCATTTTCTAGCGAAAGCTTCAGAAAAGTGGATTGTGTCCGGATCCGGTTGTTTTGTTGTAATCCGTTTTCCCTTGCAAAAAACACTATAAAATGAAAATTCTTGTTCTTACTTGATCAAATTGCAAGAATCCCTTGCAAAAAATAAGGTAAAGTGGACATTCGTGCGCGCAAGACGAAATCCTTCCAAAACCTTAGGTTTCGTAACGATTTTAACATAAAAACATCAAAAACCCAATGGTTTTTTAAGAAAAAAATGTCAAAATGTCCTTCCGCGCGCGCTGTCCGAATCCCACAAAACCAATGGTTTTTCAACATTTATGTTACATGAGCTCGCGCGAGCTACTTTTTCTTGTTCTAACATAATCAAATTTCAATAATCCCTTGCAAAAAATAAGGTAAAGTGGACATTCGCGCGCGCAAGACGAAATCCTTCCAGAACCTTAGGTTTCGTAACGATTTCAACATAAAAACATCAAAAACCCAATGGTTTTTCAAAAAAAAATGTCCAAATTTCATCCCGCGCGCGCTGTCCGACTCCCACAAAACCAATGGTTTTTCAACATTTATGTTACATGAGCTCGCGCGAGCTACTTTTTCTTGTTCTAACATAATCAAATTTCAATACTCCCTTGCAAAAAAAAGTAAAGTGGACATTCGCGCGCGCAAGACCAACAAAAAACACGACGATCTCAGGAACTTGCCCCAAAAATGTGACCAACTCCGCTCTCTCTGTCTCTCTCTCTGTCTGCTCTCTGTCTCTCTCTCTGTCTGTCTGTGTCATGTATTGTATGTCACAATTGCAGGATGCTGGGCACACGCGCGCCCCGAATAAGTGACCAAGTTCTGTGGGTGTGTACCCCACGCCAGTGTAGTAGCCACGGTCGTCCGCACGCCACGAAGTGAAGTGTCCCAACGTCATAGGGCGGGAAGCTGGGTTTGGGTGGTCGCGAAGAGTCGTTTGGATATTTGGTAGAGCTTGAACTGCCCCCCCACGAAGTGGGGGTATTGTCTCGCGTCGCATGAAAACCCTGGCACTGGTGAGAACACTGAGCGTTCGGGTAAAATGATTGTTGTTGTTGTTGTTGTTTTTGTTTTAATAGTACTAAACAGATATTAGCATACATGCGTTCTTCGCATTCTCGTTTTTTCGTGTTTCCGGCGCTAGAGCACCGCCCAAGAGGCGCCCCAAACCGCTCCAAGACGGCCCAAGAAACTCCCAAGGGGCCCCAAGACGGCCCAAGAGAGCCCCGAGACGGCCCCAGAGCCGCCCAAGACGGCGCAAGAGGGTCCCAAGAAGGCCCCAAGAGGGGCCCAAGAGAGGGAACGCGAACTGAAAAATCAAGCTCTCCGCTCCAAGATGCCCCCAAGAGGCCCCAAGAGGCCCCCAGGAAGCCCCCAAGAGGCCCCACGAGGCCCCAAGAGGCTGCGCGATGCGCTTGAAATTGTCCCAGAGGCCCCGAAGACGCCCCAAGAGGCCTTTCAGATGCCGCCCAAGAGCGCCCCGAGAGGGCAAAATCGTTGATTTTCATTGTTTTTCCCCACTTCCAAAGTGGGGTTCTTGTTTTCTCCGGACACCCTCCGCGCAGGAACCTCACCTCCCTCCCACTCTCCGCCTCACTCACGCATTCACCCCGCCATCGGTCATCATCACCATCGGTCATCATCACCACCACCATCGTCATCATACTCATCATTAGCATCACTACCACCGCCATCATCATCATACTCAGTCGCACATCACACACTCTCTCTCTCATCACTCAGCATCATTTTCTTTGGACACCCCGCGCATGAACTCCTCAGGCCTGAATCTAGAGGAAGTATCAGGCGGGAGCCTCGTCAGTGAGTGAAGTGTGAGGAAGTCTCAGGCGGGAGCCCCCTCCCTATCGGGTCCGCACTTCATGTTGGTAATCCGAGCGGGTCATTCTCATCCGTGTAGCTGTCGTCACTTTTGGGCTTTCGAGGCTTGAATATGGATGAACTATTAGGCGAGAACCTCGTCTGTGCTTGAATTGCGAGGAAGTCTCAGGCGGGAACCCCCTCCCTATGGGGCCCGCAGCTTATGTTTCTGCGGAAGTCTCAGGCGGGAGCACCCTTCCTATGGGGCCCGCACTTCATGTTGGTAATCCGAGTGGGTCATCCTCATCCGTGTAATTGTCGTCACTCTTGGGCTCCTGCGACTTGTATATGGAGGAAGTATCAGGCGAGAACCTCGTCTGTGCCTGAACTGCGAGGAAGTCTCAGGCGGGAGCCCCCTCCCTATGCGGCCCGCAGCTCATGTTTTTTAATCCGAGGCGGGTCATTGGAATCCTGTAACTTTCGTCGCTTTTGGGCTCCTGGGGCTTGAACATGGGGGAACCATCAGGCGGGAGCCTCGTCTCTGAGTGAACTGCGGGGAAGTCTCAGGCGGGAGCTCCCTCCCTTTGGGGCCCGCACCTCCCGTGCTTCCTCAAGGTCGTCCTCTGGGACGTTCTCCAGCGCGCGCTTCCTCTTGGTCATCTTCGGGCGCGTATCTCTTGTGACGCACGTCGTGCGCTTCTTTTGGGTCGTGTCCCGCACGAGGAGGAGGAAGAGGAGGAGGAAGAGGAGGAGGAGGAGGAGGAGGAGGAGGACGAAGGAGGAAGGAGGATGCAGGACGAGAAAGAAAAGGAGGAGGAGGAGGCAGAGGGCGAGATGGACGAGGATGACAAGGAGGAAGAGGAGTGCCTTAGGAGGCCCCAGGATGTCAATGGAGGCCCAGAAAGCCTCCAGGAGGCCCCAAGAGGCCCCAGGCGGAGGCAGGAGGCCTAAGGAGGAGGCAGGAGGAGGAGGGAGAGGAGGAGGGGGAGGAAGATGGACACGAGGAGGAGTAGTCGGAGGAAGGAGAGGGAGAGGAGTAGGCGGGAGAGGGGAGGAGGAAGATGATGAGGAGGAGGAGGAGGAAGAGGAGGAGGTGGAGGAGGGAGAGGGAAAGCAGGAGGAGGAGGGCGCAGGAGGCAGGAGGAACATGGGGAATGGGGAGGAGGAGGCATAAAGAGGAGGGGGAAAAGGAGGATGAGGTGGTGGAGGAGGCAAGAGGAGGAGGAGGCAGGGGTTGAGGCAGGAGGAGGAGCAGGCAGGATCAGGCAGGAGGAGAAGGATGAGGCAGGAGTAGGTGGGAGAAGGGAGGGGGCAGGAGGATATCTCCAGGCAAGCTAAACATATCATCATGTGGGGTTCTACCGTCGGAGTACGTGTACATGATTTTTTTTGCATGCTCGCTGTTTCGTGTTTCCGGCGCTAGAGCACCGCCCAAAAGGCTCCCCAAACCGCTCCAAGACGGCCCAAGAGGCCCCCAAGAGGGCCCCGAGACTGCCCAAGAGAGCCCCGAGACGGCCCCAGAGCCGCCCAAGACGGCGCAAGAGCGTCCCAAGAAGGTCCCAAGAGGGGCCCAAGCTCTCCGCCCCAAGATGCCCCCGAGAGGCCCCAAGATGCCCATAGGAAGCCCCCAAGAGGCCCCACGAGGCCCCAAGAGGCCTCAAGTGGTCCTCAAGAAGCCCAAAAGAGGCTCCAAGAGGCCACAAGACGGCACCCAAAAGGCTTCAAAACTTTTTCTC